TCTTCCCTTATACCATGTTGGCCATCCACAAGACTGCTAACAGTGTCAAAATCGGTTGAGTCAGAATTTCAGTGTCACCTCTATGTAAAACATTGGCCTCTGTCTAAAACATTGGAACCTCCTTAGCCTAGTGCGTGGCACATAGTAGGTGCTTAATCAAAATACTCAATCGTGTGAAGGAACATTACTCAATAACTTATGGTACTTACTATGTACTTATTCTGCCAGAATGCAGCCTCCTTGAGAGCAGGGACCATTTGGGGTGGGGGTGGGGTCTCTGTAAACCAGGATCCTGGCACAGTGTCTGACTAACAAAAGCATGCCCACAAGCTGACTATTCAGCCAGTGATTTTTATACCCCATCTAGTGGGGTTACTTCTACAACTAGAAAAGGCAGTGGGGCACAGTGGTTAGAGAGTCAGGAAGTCCAGGGTCAAGCCCCACCTCCAGCTCTTCCTAGCTGTGTGACCTTAGAGAGATCAGTTAAACTCTCCGAGCCTCAGTCCTAATCTGTAAAGTGGGCGTTACAAGACAAGTAGCAACCACCGTTCAGGTCTGTTGAGAGGCTCCAGCGGTGAAGGTTCATCAAATATCCTGCAAACCTTCACGGTATCAATCTCAGCTCTTGCTCCTTGTGGAACAATAGGCAGGCTCCCCACCTCACGACCTGTTTGTGGGACATGCAGAAGTGGCTCCATGTCAGGGAGGCAGTGAGGGATGAAACCGTGGCGGGTGAATTAAGCAGCAAAGGGCAGGGATGATGTAAGTGAGCATCTGAGCTAGAAATCACAGCAAAGCACCACGGAGGAAATGCTGGAAACCTTGGAGCTGGGCCCAGTAATGAGCACAATGATGATAAAACAGCTTCCAGCACAGCCGTTTCCAGGCAGGGAACAGCAGATCTGGAGGCAGAGACCCGCCCTTTGCAAAGTGCCCGGAGCCATGTCATGTCATGTCATGTCATAGGACGTGTCAAGCCACGTCACGTCACAGGCCATGCATCCTATGTTGCACGGAAGGACCTTTGGCGCTGGAAGGGGCCCAAGAGGTCGTCACATCTGGCTTGCTCACTTTTCAGATGGGGACACAGAGACCCCATGAGGGGCAGATCATAGATTTAAGGGGTGGGATGGAAGAATATCAGAGGTGGGAGGAACCCAAGGTCCTCTGGTCCTACACCTGAGCCAGAATTCCTGCAATGATATTCCCTCTGCCTCAACATCACTGCCGAGGGAAAAACCAATAGTACTCTAGGAGAGACAGAGACAGAGACAGAGACAGAGAGAGACAGAGAAGGAGACAGAGACAGAGAGAGACAGAGGAGACAGAGACAGAGAGAGACAGAGGAGACAGAGACAGAGAGGGAGACAGAGACAGAAATAGAGACAGAGAGAGATCGAGGAGACAGAGAAGGAGACAGAGACAGAGGCAGAGACAGAGACAGAGAAGGAGACAGAGAGAGACAGAGAAGGAGACAGAGACAGAGAGAGACAGAGACAGAGAGAGACAGAGAAGGAGACAGAGACAGAGAGAGACAGAGGAGACAGAGACAGAGAGAAAGAAACGCCAGGCATGGGCTGGAGCCTCGCTAGGGGTTTACAAGCGTGGGACAGAGAATCCTCTAGGTCAGTCAATCTGTCAACAAGCATTTATTCCACACTTGCTGTGTGTGCGGCACTGAGCTAAGCCCTGGGGCGACAAAGAAAGGCAAAGACCCAGTGTCTGCCTGCCCTCCAGGAGCTCACGGCAGAATGGGGTACCGAGTTCTTTCTGGTGCACGGAGGTGAGCGGGATGAGCTAGACAGGGGAGGCGGTACAGATGGTCTGACCTTGACTCAGTGGGCAAAAGTGAGGACTGAGCACAGGAGGAGAAATACCCCCAGATCAGTGCACCCCCAAAGCAGTTTCTATGGCTTGGAGCCAGGACGGAGTAGAGGCGGGACCTTTGGGAGCTGCTCTGACCGTCCAGCAAGCTATTGGACTAGGTTGGTGACAGTACACATGGAGATGAGGCCAAGGTTTGAGAAACGTGGCAGTAGTAGAAGAATCTAGCAGGACGGTTGGGTTCCAGAGGCACTGAGGAGGGGACTGAAGTCGGGAGGGACGTGAGTTCAAATCGAGCCTCGAGAGAGAGATCCTATGCGACCCTGGGCAAGTCACTTAGCTGCTGCTTGCCTCAGTTTCCTCATGCGTAAAATGGGCACAATAATAACACTTCCCTCCCAGGGATCATTGTGACGATCATTTGAGATAATACTTGTCAAGTGCTTTGTAAACTCAGAAGCTATGACTGTTAAAAAATGAATGCTAAAAATTGTCTTTACAGATGATTAAAAAAAGAAAGCTGTGACTGTTGTTAGCTGAGAAGTGGGGAGAAGCTGGGACTGCAAGTCCCAGAGGGCTGATCTCCACCAGAATACGGTGGAGGCCAGGCCTGCCTCCCTCCCCCACTTCTCAGGCCAGGGCAGGAATCAGGCTGAATGTTCAACGTAACCCACCTTCAGCCTGTCCCCGTCCTATCAGGAAAAACAGAACCGGAAATTTAACAAGAAAGACATAAATGTGAGCCAAAGAGCCAGCTGCCTCGACCTTTGCCCACGAGGTGACCTCAGCCCGCCAGCCCTGTTAGGACCTACCAGCCCCCGGGAAGCATTTTCACTATTTTGGGTGATTTTAGATGGTCTAAGAGACAGCTCTGCAGACGTGTGCATTTAGGCTATCCTATGAAAGCTGGTATTTTCGTCAGGAGGCAGCAGAGGGTTTGATAGCACCCAGCACATAGTAGGTACTTTAAAATGCTTGTTTTTGTCTGGACAAGATCTTGCCTCAGACATTTTACTACCTGCGTGACCCTGGCCAAGTCACTTAGCTACCCCTAGGGCCTCAGTTTCCTTATCTGTTAAAAAATGAATGGGATGGATGAGACGGTTTCTAAGATCCCTTCCAGCCCTTCATCTGTGGCCTTTTTTACTACTGTGTGAGCTTGGGCAAGTCATTTAACTTAGCCTCCGTTTCTGTGATCTGTAAAATGGGCATGATAATAATAGCACCGACTGAAAAGTAGAGGGATATAGGGGAGCTTTTTGGGAATAAAGCCGGAAGTACCAGAGGGAGTGAGATAGGAAAGGGGGAAGCCAGGCTGGAAAAGGGAGCTGATCCTTTCAGAGTCACCGTGAGGCCTCAGTGGGACTGTCCAGCCTTAGATGCTTGCTGTTTGCCTCTGGGTAAGTCACATCACCTCCCTCTGCCTCAATTTCCTTGTCTGTAAAATGGAAATGATGATGGTACCTACCTCCCAGAGTCCTCAGGGAGGCCTTGGTAAAGTGCTAACTAATATTATGAAGACAGAGGTTCAAATTCTACCCTTGACACTTACTAGCTGAGTGACCCTGGGCCAGTCCCTTCATCTCAGCCTCAGTGGCTCATTTGTAAAATGGGTATCATAACAGCGCCCATCTTCCAGGGTTGTTGTGAGGATCAAAGGAGCTAATATATGCATTTTGCAAACCTTACAGCACTATAAAAAATGTCAGCTGCCTAACTTTCCAGTTATCATTATTATTATTCTAACAAAGTGCAGGCCACCCCGCCCCTCCCCCAGGCTCCCATTATCACGGGGGTGAAACTTTTGCATATGACTCAAAATGTCCCATAGCTTCATGACTCAGCATTTGCAATGTCAATAATTTACAGCGAGATTGTGTGTGTGTGTGTGTGTGTGTGTGTGTGTGTGTATGTAGGGCAGTAGGAGAAGCGAGTTCACACACAAAGGGCGACTCAGGGCACCGCTCCGGTGCCGGGGGTGCCATGCATTTTTCCAGGCAAGGGCTGGTACCGCAGCTTGAATACCAAAGGTGACCCGGGGCTGCCCTGGCCACAGTGCGGGGGCCCTGCTGCCTGCAGCTCTCCCACATGCACATGTCCCTCTCCTCTAGGGTTACAGGCCCGGCAGCTGGGCGGCCCCCTCCTCCCCCACCCCCCGGAAGGGAGCTGGCCTTTGCTCTCCAGCGCCCCCCAAGAGGCCTGTGGGGACTGCCACTGCACCCGCTGCAGCCCTGGCTCTTCCCAGAATAAGCCCATGCAGCCACCGTGGCACCGAGATCATCGCCCTAATAATAAGCACCCTTGCCCAGACCGGCACAAACAACCTTGGCAGGCAGACTTTGCCCCCGAGGGCAGGCCACCCTCTTTTTCTTTTTATGTGGGACCTGCCCTTGCTCATAATTACTGGTGTGGGGAGTCATGAGCCCTGCAAAGGGATTTTAAGAGCGAGCCTTGCAAACAAAAGGACACGAAACCAACACAGACGAAAACGTGCGCTGGCCAGAAAGACACCTGAAGCCTTCCGAGCTGAGCTAGATTGACAAACTCTCTTCCCCCGCCCCGCTCTGCTCCAGGGCCCCGCCTCCTCAGCCGCCCCGGACCAATGGCAAGGGCGAGGCAGGGCGTTCTCTCCGCCCCTTCCCCGGGCCTCCTGCTCCCTTAGCCACGCCCCTACTCAGGCCCCGCCCCTTCCGCTGGGCTGTCTCTCTGTCTCTGTGTCTCTCTCTCGGGCTGAGCCTCGGCGCGAAGGTCAAATTGCCCGAGAGGGTTGATTTGCATCTTCCAATGGGCGCCTCGCATGCAAATGAGGAGGGAGCTGATTGGCTGGGTGTTGGTAGGATAACTCCAGCCAGCCGGGCTCTTTGTCCTTCACTGGCTGTGGGGCAGCTGCAGTCTGGTGGTGCGGCCCGAGGGGGTTAGTGGCCTAGGGAGCGAGCGATCCGCCGCCGGCGGGGAGGGGGCGGCCGCAGCAGCTGCGGCGACGGCCCGGGGGTGGTCCGGCCGGAGCGAGAGAGCTAGCCACCTAGCAAGCGCTGCTGCTGCTGCTGCTGCAGCTGGAGCTGGTGCACGGCTCCCGGGACGAGAGCAGCGCAGAGCCGGGGCGCCGGGGACCCGGGCAGCAGCAGCAGGGGCAGGAGCAGCAGAGGCAGGGGCAGCAGCAGCTGCTGCAGCGCACGCCGCGCTCCGGGGGGGAGGGGGAGGGGGAGGGGGACGGGGACAGGACCTGCCTGTGCAATATGACTTTGGAGGAATTCGCGGCCGGAGAACAGAAAACTGAAGGGTGAGCAGGCGGGCAGCGCTGCCCTCTCTGGGAAGGGGACCGGGGGCTGCGGGCAGTGCTGAGCCGGGCTGTGCTTTGCCTTAAGCACGAACAGCGGTGGGGGAACGGAAGGTGAGGGACGAGCAGGTGGGCTGGCTGAGCTGCTACCCCCGGGCATCCAGCTGGGAGGAGGGACGCGGCCGAGGAAGTCCTTGCCAGGTCCCGTGTGGCCGTCGCGGGTCCCCAGCCCCCTCCCGCCGGTGGTGCCTGCGGTTTGCAGCTTGGGGTGTGGGTTGAGCTCCGAGGACGGGAAGTGTCCCCGGTGGGGGGGGAGGGCGGCGAGTGGGAAATGGCACTTTTCTTACCCGGCCAGTGAGCGTGTGGACTTGGACGTGGGCATGCTCGTGTGGGTGTTTGCCAGGGCAGTGTGGGGAGGGGATCGCCCGAGTGCGGTGTTGGTGGCGGGGGAGGGGAGTCGGGTTTGCAGAAGTTAATGCCCAGCTGCGCCCTGCGTGGCACCCCGGGGATCCCGGCTGGCAGCCTGGCTGTGGAATTGTGTGTAGGGGCACGGGGCTGGGGTGGGGGTAAGGCTGGGCCTGGCCCTGCGCCCTGGGTGTGACTGACGGACCTGCTTCCCGTGTGCCCGCTGTCAGGATGGACAAGGTCGGTGATGCCCTGGAGGAGGTTCTCAGCAAAGCCTTGAGTCAGCGAAGTATCACGGTTGGGGTCTACGAGGCGGCGAAGCTGCTCAACGTGTAAGTGGGGCGGGGGGCGGCGCGCACCTGTCTCCCCTCCCCCTCCGCGCCCCACTGTACTCCTCTCCCTACAGCGCGACCCACTCTGGGCATGCTTGCTTGTTTACGTTCCTGTTACACTCCCCCTCTTTTGTTAGTCCGGCCTTTTCCAAACTCTGCTGCTGGGAACTCCTCTATGTTGGCAGCTCTCTGTGATAGGGCGGCTGAGGGCCTGCGTGTGGGAGCGAGTCCCTGCGTGGTGTGCACGCGTTGTACCTGCGTCAGGGAGCTGGCCGGGGCGCCGTGGCCGTGTTCGCTGCGCGCCTGCCAGCGTGTGCCTCTCTGGAGCGCTGCGTGTGGCCTTGGCGGTTATGTTGGCTGCAAGTGTGTGGGGGGGGGCGGGGGAGGAGCTCTCCCTGCCCCCTTCCCCAGCCCCTGACTGTCTGGGCGCCCCTCCCGCTTCAGGGACCCCGATAACGTGGTGCTGTGCCTGCTGGCTGCGGACGAGGATGACGATCGGGACGTGGCCCTGCAGATCCATTTCACCCTCATCCAGGCTTTCTGCTGCGAGAATGACATCAACATTCTGCGGGTCAGCAACCCTGGGCGCCTGGCCGAGCTGCTGCTGCTGGGGACGGGTGGCTCGGCGGCCGCCTCGGGCGGGGGAGCCGAGCAGCCCCCGGACCTGCACTGCGTCCTGGTGACGGTAAGCGCGAGCCCGGGGCCCTGAAGGCGGGCTCTGGCCCCCCCTCGGCCTGCTGGAGGGGGAGGGGGCAGCCTCCACCTGATTATCACCTGATTGCAGCCCGGCTAGCGCCGGCACCCAAAGTGGGGGGGCTGCCTTTTGCCCCACTTCAAAGGCCGGCTGGACTTTCAACCGAAAAGTGCTGGTTTCATCATCAAGGCTCTGTGAGTACAGAACATGCCCAAACACGTTTGCTTCTCTCCAGGGCTGCGGCAGCCCCAGCCCGGTCGGAAGAGATCCCTAGGCATGAGTCAGCACCCCGAGTTCCCGGTTACCTCCTCCTGTCTGTCCGCCTCCCGTGACTAATTCTTTTAGCAGCGCAGATTAGATAAAGCCAAGTAAATTCCTGGCTCACCCTCATTAAGGAGTCACCTCTATTCTCTGCCAGTCCGAGCTATAAATAGGAACACTGTAGGGGGGGAGGGAAGAGGCAGACGTTGCTAATTCCCTGGAAGTCCATTGGGGAGGAGAGTGGAAATTTTCACTGAAAACTTGCATTTTTTGAAAAAGGGAGGGTTTTTTTTTAAAACCTGGATGCCTGTTGGAGGGTAGTCAAGTCCTGAGTTTGGAGGTAAAGCTCCTAGGAGCTTATATTTGGAGCTGGAAGGGGACCATCAAGCCGTCCAGCTTCATTGATCTGGGAAGGTCTGCTTTCCACTTATTTTTGGCCTTTTAAATATTAATGCTTTTAAAGCTAGCCAGAGAGTAAACAGCTTGTTTTCTTTTTTTTTTCTGGCTGGCTCTTAGGTTCTTCTCTTTTTTCTTTTTTTTTTTTAAGTGCAGCAAGCGGTATGTAGCTTAACTATTATGAAATCGAGCTGATGCTTTGAATGGGTGAACTCACGCATGTGGCTGCTGTACCCCAGTCCTTACAGAGAAGCCATGAAAACACTTCTCCAGATAGCTTCAATAACCATGAAAAATAAAGCCACTGCCTTCAAGGAGCTTAGACTCCCAGCTGCAGCCCGATCTGCCTTCTGTGCAAAGAAAGGGGCCACCCTGTGCTCAGTGCACAATTGTGCAAGAGGGCGTCATTCATATGGACAGATAGTTATCACTCATGCAAACCGATGCTTGTGTGGCCGGCCTTGTGCTCTGACCAGAGAACGTGGCCTTTGAGATGCTTGGATCAAGTCCAGAAAAAGGAATGATAGTGCATTTTTATATAGTTATTTTGTAAGGCTGGCTAGAGAGAGGTTGGTGGGGGGAGTGGAGTCCAGCCCAGCTATTCTGGAAGCCCCGGTACAGGTTTCCCCCCCTGACCTCCCCTCCCCGTTAAGGCATTAACCTGAGGCTTCTGGGCGTTTCCCATAGCAACCCCTCCAGCCAGCAGTACGGGGTGGAGAAGCCTTATGTTAATTTCACTGAGACTCTTAGTAGGAAATGGACCTTCCCAGGTTCCTCTTACCCCTCACAAACAGTGTCCTGGTTGTTATTAGCAAATGCTTGGATTTTTAAAAATGCACTACCAGTTTTCTAAACAGAAGTATTAATTTCTTTCCAGAACCCACATTCTTCTCAATGGAAGGATCCGGCCTTAAGTCAGCTTATTTGTTTTTGCCGGGAAAGCCGATACATGGATCAGTGGGTGCCGGTGATTAACCTCCCTGAACGGTGATGGCTTCCCACTGAAAGTAACTGAGCCCAGTTGCACTGAAGTTTTGAAATACCTTTGTAGTTACTCAAGCTAACTCCCTACACTGATGCAAGGATTACAGAAATTGATGTCCAGTAGGCTGAGTCCAACTACACGTTCTTGGGGACCGGAGATTGATGACTTTGCAGAAGGAAAGAGAAGAGAATGAAAAGACTGAAGCTGTTTGGAAACAAGCCAAAGTCAAAAGGAACAAAAAAAATTTTGGCAAAGAACCATGCAGGAAGGGGGAAAATGTATTCATTTAGGATGGTTGAGTTACATTGAGATAAACCAAATATGCATTGTTGAAGTTTAAATGTACAGCAGTAGTTTGGGTATTTTTTGGTTTATGTGCCCTTAAAATGAAAGAGCAAAGGGGTTAATTATATTTTAAAAACCATATTTTATTGTATTTTGATGGGATGTTTAAATTCTTGGAGTTTTATTATGAATTGTACTAAGTTATTTTATGACATGAAAGGTTATTTATGCTATAAATTTTTGGAATACAATACCTGCAATAAACTGATATAGAGTAATTGCACTTGGTTTTTGTTTACTGGAATTATTTGTTGGGGGAGGGAGAAAACCCAAGTCAGCTCCTCCCCCTGCCCAAGCTCCAACCGGGAGACGACGGGGGGGGGGGGGGGGGGGGGGGGGGGGGGGAGGGTGGTATCTTTGCAAGCGTAGCTAAGGACGGGACTTCCGGCTCTAGTTCTGTGCTTAATCTTGCCCATAGCAGGGTTGGCTTATCTCGGGAACATTAGGGCCGGGGTGGCCTGGCAAAGATTTCTGGGATTTCTGGGGCCCTGCAGCAACCGCCCCCGGGGAGCAGTGGCCCTCCTCCCTTGCAGCTGTGTGCATGGGATAGAGGGGATTTGGTGGGGAGGGGGAGGGAAGAAGGCCGGAATTGGTAAAGTTGAAGTCCCCAAACCTCCACTTGAAGCTGGGCTGCGGGATGGAGGCGAGCTTGTCTAAACTGATGCAAATGGATGTCTAGTGAGGCGTGTTGTGCTCTCGGAATTGGTCCGAGGGTGGATGTGACCTTGGGCTACTGTGTACTTTAGCCAGGGGCTGATGTAACCCTGGGGATTAGGCCTTCCCTTCCACTGCCCCACCAATGGTCTCCTTTTCCCTTAAAAAAAAGCTTACGGGGAGAAAGAAAATGGGGCTCCCTGGCAAACAGCAACTCATCCCC